TAAAAGAATTAAAGGGAAGCGCACAAGGTGGTGGACGTCTTAATTTGCCCGCGAGTAGTTCGGCTATTTTGGAAGTCAGTTGAGGTGCACAAGTTGGTGGACGTCTTAACTTGCCTCAGTTTATATGAATAAAGTGAGAAGCATGAATTTTTTATTGATGCACTTGGTATATGTTGGGAGTCCCATGCAATTCAACGTGATATAATCAGTCGCATAATTCAAAAAGTAATTTTAAGGCATTCCTAAATTTTACCCTAATATGAAACCGACAGTGGATAAGTTCTGCTTGCATGGACAGTTCATTTTAAAATGGCGCATTTTATAAATATGTCATTCTCTGATCTTTGCTCAATTTTGAATCTTCCGGAAAGAAATACTTTGTTTCCTTTAATGTCAGATAAGGCAGCAGATGGAGCACGAAAATATTTTTAAAATGGGCACATTGCCTTTCCTTCAACTGACATTTAACGTCCCTTTCTCTGCTACCTACAATAACATCGAAAGACGGATCATTGGGAAATGCTTGTTTTAAATAAGCTGTTGTTAAGTCAGACACGACAGCGTTTGCGACGACTCAATCCTCTTAACCAATGCTGCTCGTCACCAGTATGTGACGAACGAAACGCATTGTTTTCTTAGGCTTTCCTGAAGGCCATATAGCGGAATTAATGCAGCCATATTGTCTTTTTAATTTGTACAATTCAACGCCACTTTGGTGACAGTACTCTAGACTAGCTTTGATAAGACGTCCAATAGCAAATGCGAAAAGTGATTCTTTGGGGATGGTGTGGGTGTGTGTGAGATGGATTACATTCTGGAGGGCTTAAGTAGGTAGGTACTTGCTGCTCAACATCCTTGCAGGCAGTATTTCGATATTGCTGTCTCCATTTCCCAAAAATTGTTAGGCATTTCACTCTTTGTTTCTTCACTTTTCAGCCATATGTTTGAAACGTGACTACAAAAAGGCTCCATAAATATTCTCTGCGTTGCTTTTCACAGCTTTTTTCTAAATCTTGCCTAACTAACACTTACCGTCTTAGAATTGCTACAATGATGCAGGTGATCTAAAGCATCAGTTATTTTTAGGAAAGCCAAAAGAGTTAGATACTTGGTGTTCGTGAACCTTGCAACGCGTACTCTACTGCTACTGCCGACATTATTACAAGGCTGTTTAGTTATTTCACTCCTTCTTCAAAGCCATGCACTGTGACGTAAATAGACATCTTAAATCATAATAATGAGAAAGGTACTGTCACTGCTACATCGAGGCACTCGATGATGAGGATGCAAGTGGCTAAGCAGAAAGGTTTACAAATGAGTAGTTTGCTCCTCGTGAATAGGACCTCCTACACCCTGCTGCCTACCATCTGAATTAATTCTTCACTCACTTCCTCCTTCTTTTCTCCTTCGCCTACCAACAACGGTATTTCCTTTCGCCTATTCCTCACTCGTGCACAATTCTGTAGCAATCAGTCAGTAAATGCCAGAAGCTGTGCCTGTTTTAGCCTAGCCGACTAAGGCTCCTATTGGGCAAATAATTTTTCCTGCCATTTGAAGACAACTGTCATTGCTCCGTGTTCTTGATGTAGGTGTAACTGAGTAAATTCACACTCTCCTGTGATATTGAGTATAAAGCCGTATTTTCCCTAACGTCAGGACCCAAGTAGCTGTGTGGGGTTATTCGCTATACCGTACCATACTTTCAAAGGAAGATTAATATATAAGAGGGTGCTGTTGAAACTTACTAATGCCAATTTGGGCCATACACGCCACCTGATATTCGGTTTGCCAAATTGTAGCGAGATGCAGTTGAATTATCTTGTGCATGTTCATGCATGTGAGCGTGTTGAAACAGATCAGAGCCCAGACATCAAATTGATCCCAGTTATAAGGTCTTTTGTTGAAGTGCTATTTGCTGATTGCTATTGAGTAGAAGTAGTGACCTGGGTGGAATCTAACCAGCAAATGCCTACACAAAGATGCAAATTAAACTAATAAACATTTCTACCATATGCACAAAACCAAAAGAAGCAACTGCATGCACCACTGCAATTACCTGCACTTTATGGCTCTAAGTAAGGGGGAAGCTGATTGCTGTCTGGAAACAAAACACATTCTGCTTTTCGACTATTACAGGCAAGAGTTTGAGTGCACCGCCACAACCGCGATTCCATCCACCGTTTCTTAATTCATTACGGAACTTAAGATGCCTGAATTTTTCAACCCAGTGCATGTGTCAACTCAATTAAAACCGGGTTGAATGAAAAGCAAACTCAGTTTTCCACTGACAAATCGAGTCTTCCATGGAGACGTATTGTGGTATTTGTCATTGTGTAGGTGTTTTCCTGCCTTTGCTTTTCAAATGCCCTACGAACCACGCTGCAAGACATGTTCAAGGGAGGTGACAATTCAGACCCCTCTATTACTCCTCAAAGTTTGGTGCAAAACCTGTTGCCCTAATAATATCCATACCTCCCATCATAGCTTTCCCTCAACACTGTCCGTTGCGTGCTCTACTAACTAGCCTATCGACAAAAGAGTCTTAAAATTTGTGCAAATGAGGGAAATAATGCAATTTCACAGTCAAGCTCTGGACAAGTCACACACTATTCAAGTTCCCTTGCCTCTAGCTGCAAGCATATTCCATATTGGTGTACTATACAACCTCGCCCCTCAGGAATGTAAGCTGTCATTGCTAAATGATACGTGGTTAAAGTGCGCAGACGGCTAGCATATTATTGTGTTGCTTAAAATTTTACTAGGCATTTGACAAACCAGTTGTTTGCGAAATTGTGTCCATTTCAATTGGCATACTATGCCTTAATGACACAGAAATGGCTACTGATGTGGACTGAATGCGTGCATTCAATGCAAGGAGGAGAGTCAATTCTAACTAGTCAGAATCAGATATGCTTCAAATAATTTGCATACCACTCACAGTTTAGCCATTCAAGTGGCACGTAAGCAGCACAAATTAAAAATACCTATGTGATTTTTCATTTTGTCTCCACCGGAGCTGACTGCAGCCATCCCTTTTACCATATGATTATTCTGGAAAAAATCTGCTATAATTACTCTCTGTTCCGTGTTTCGCTTTGTTTAGTTGAATCGGTACTAAAGTCCATGTCATCAATAAGTTTTAAATATTTTGAAGAAGTAAAAAGAAACCCCATCTCTTGCATTATTTGCACTACAAACACTATGGCATATGCAGTTTTCATAGAAATTATATTGGGCAGGAAATGTTGCACCCTACGTTAGAGTCCACTCAAAAATTAACAGGATAACTGATGGGGCAACTTTCCGGGCACAAGCCAGTTGACGAAACCCATTTTATCTTCATTAAATGCCCTAGTCTAACGCCAC